TATATATAAAAATTAATTTTAATTTTAATTTTTTAAAAATTGAGTTTATTTGACCCAATCCAAAATCTGTATGGATGGGTTATGGATCAATTTCCTTAACCTAACACTCAAAATGATCCAATCAGAACAAGTTAAAGTCCAAAATGACACAATTCCAACCTATCCAATCCAATCTGTTTGCCAAGTACATTTGTATTCCTTGAAGACCAAGAAACGACGTTGAGACTTCCCTATAAAAATATCTCACCATAAAGCGTTGAGATCCAAACACAATTCAGCAAACCCTAATCCAATGGCTCCTCCTACCCTCCTCGCCCCCCCTAGTCTCCGCGATCCTACCCCGCCACCAGCGGCTGCCGCCCCCACAGCCCCCACCGCCCCCACCGCTGACCCATTCGTGGGCCTGATGGTGGCCAACTTCAACAAAATCGGTGACAGACCACCGATAAACACTCCCATGGGGTTCACCGAAAACGCTTCTCCGACGTTTCTGGCGTCCGGTAACCCATGTGTCGACTTCTTTTTCCATATAGTGCCCAATACTCCGGCCGAATCGCTCACCCAGAGGCTGCAGCTGGCGTGGGCTCACAACGACTTGACCACCCTCAAGTTGGTCTGTAATCTCCGCGGCGTGCGAGGGACTGGGAAATCCGACAAAGAAGGGTTTTACACGGCTGCTTTCTGGCTACACGAGAACCACCCTAAAACCTTCGCCTGCAACGTGGATTCGTTCGCGAATTTTGGCTACTTCAAGGACTTACCGGAAATTCTTTACCGGCTTCTGGAAGGATCCGATGTGAGGAAGATACAGAAGGCGAAGTGGGAACAAAGAAAACTTGAAGAGGGTAAACTGAGAGGATGGAGAGGTTGTGGGTTGAATCTTGAGCACCCAATGTTGTTCGGTCATGGCAATTTGCAGAGAAAGAACAAGGAGAAAGTTAGGAGAGTTGAGCCTAAGGTTCCTAAAAAGGTGAGAATCTTGAATGCTACGGAGAAGAACAGGATCGGGAAGGAGAAGGCGACTGCCCTAAGAAAAGAAAAGAAGGCTTCCATGGCAAAGAAGGTGATTGAAAGATACACCAGGGACCCAGATTTTCGATTCTTGCATGAGCGGGTCTCGGATCTTTTTGCCCAATGTCTCAAGGCCGATATGCAACATCTCAACTCCGGTCAAATCAGGAAGGTGGGTCTCGCCGCTAAATGGTGTCCGTCCCTCTATTCCTCTTTTGATCGGTCTACTCTGCTTTGTGAGAGTATTGCAAGGAAGGTGTTCCCTCGTGAGAACAACCCCGAATATGAAGGCGTCCAGGAAGAGCATTACGTTTACACGGTGCGTGATCGGTTGAGGAAGGAGGTGTTGGTTCCGCTGCGGAAGGTCCTGGAGTTACCGGAGGTGTATATCGGTGCGAACCGGTGGGACGCAATTCCGTATAATAGAGTAGCCTCTGTAGCCATGAAGCTTCACAAGGAGAAGTTTTTGAAGCATGATCCTGAACGTTTCAAGAAGTACTTGGAGGATGTCAAAGCCGGAAAGAAGAAGATCACTGCCGGTGCATTGCTTCCTCATGAGATAATAGGAGCGCTGAATAATGCCGACAGTGGAGAAGTTGCAGAGCTCCAATGGAAGAGAATGGTGGATGATTTGCTTAAAAAGGGGAAACTTACAAATTGTATGGCTATTTGCGACGTGTCTGGTAGCATGACGGGTGACCCCATGGAGGTTTCCGTTGCATTGGGTGTTCTTGTGTCGGAATTGAGCTCAGAACCATGGAAAGGGAAGCTCATTACATTCAGTGCAAGTCCCCAACTCCAAACTGTGCAAGGGAAAGATCTTAAGGCGAAGACTAGCTTCGTGAGAAGAATGGAATGGGGAATGAACACCAATTTCCAACGGGTGTTCGATCTCATCCTCGACGTAGCAGCCAGTGGGAACTTGAAACCGGAGCAGATGATTAAGAGACTGTTCGTATTCAGCGACATGGAATTTGATCAAGCGTCGAGAAACCCATGGGAAACTGATTATCGAGTCATTGTGAGGAAATTCACCGAGAAAGGGTATGGAGCTGCGATCCCGCAGATTGTGTTTTGGAACTTGAGAGACTCGAGGGCCACTCCGGTGACTGCAACTCAAAATGGGGTGGCAATGGTTAGTGGGTTCTCTAAGAACTTGCTCAAGGTCTTCTTGGATAACGATGGGGAGATAAATCCTGAATCTATCATGCAGGAAGCCATCTCGGGTGAAGAGTATCAAAAACTAGTAGTGATTGATTGATGATCAATGTACAGATTTTGAAAAATAAAAATGACGTTCACCTCTCTTTTATCATTTTCAATTCAATGCACATTTCTATATTCTATCCTTCAGGAATTTTCTAGCGTTCATTGAGCAATCTGCCAAACAATTTCTATCATAATATCCCTTCTATTCCTCCATGTTTTATGCTTTAATTTTTTGTTTGGTTATCTTAGATTAGTTCTTAAATGTACTATTGCTAGTCTTTTATAGTGCATTATGGCAGTAAAAGAAACATTTCATAAAATAGCTAACAATATCTGCTACTAGATCAAATTGATTTGGGTGTTTGATTTCAGGCTCTACAGCTCGATAAAAATTTCGAAAAGTACAAAACTAAAATTTTGAAAACAACTAAACTAAATGCTGATGGATATTTCTTTATGCAATGAGTTTAATACAATTTATAGAATTGATGGCTGCAGGTAGAAAGGAAGATGTTCTCTTTTTTTACGCAGAGATCTTATCTCTGCTTCTGCTATGTGCTTTGCTAAAGTTGGTTTCTGCCAATTGACACGGTGAGTTTGTTTGCCATACGCTGCTTTAGTGCTGTTGCATAAGGGCTTTTGACTGCTGCTGATACAGGTAACAGGATTGCTCTTGTATCCTGAATTTTTGGTTCAAAAAGTTGAACAGTCGAACAGATATTTCTATATGTGCAATGAATTTTATACAATTTATAGAATTGATGGCTGCAGCTAGGAAGATGTTCCCTCTTTTTTATGCATGAGATCTTATCTCTACTTCTCCTACGTGGTTTGATAAACTTGGTTTATATGCACATGTTGCTTTCAGTGCTGTCTACATGAGGGCTCTTGGGTGCTGGCTGATACAGGTAACAGGATTGCTGTTGTATGCTGATTTTTTGGGCTGCTTATAGCATTGTTAATATAGAACATCTACAAGTTGAAGAGGCACAGTATGATTCCTTTGCTCAGTCTAAGATTGTTGTTGTATACTGTTCGTGGGCATTCCTTTAATTATGCTTCTATACTCTTAGGGAACTATTATGCTTCCTCTACTGGGTCTAAGATTCTTTCTTCTGTTTTTTGTTTTAATTTGAAGACGTGGAGGGAGGGCTTCCTGGTATATGTTCTGCATGGTAATTGGTGATGATATTTCAGCCTTGTGAGTGCTCCAGGTCCAGGTGATTTTCATGTAGTATTAGCATTGTTACATATGTAGAACATCTACAAGTTAAAGAACAGGCTGCTTCCTACCTTCTGTTGTTTTGTCTGCCTTAGACTAAATAATGCTACAGTGCCATTTACAATATGTCTACTCATGCTGGAATATATCATGCTCGGCAATTGATGATGCTATTTCTGCTACATGAGTGCTCCAAGTGATTTTTGATGTTATAGCATTGTTACTTATATATATAGAACATCTATAAAATGAAGAGCAGGCTGCTTGCTACCTTTGCTGTTTTCTCTCCCTAAACTAAATAAGGCTGCTATTGTACAATATATGTCTACTCTTGCTGGTATATAATCTCCTCATTAATTGGTGATGTATTTCCTGCTCTGTGATGCTCCAGGTGATTTTTTATGGTGTTTAAGTTGAGTCTAAAGGATCGGGAAATGTGCAATCCATGATCAAAAACTGATGGCGATGCCTCTGATATTGTTGTTTCGGGTACTCCAAATGTTTTAGAGTTCAGTTATACTACTTTGATGCTAGGATGCATTGCAGAGGGTGCAGTTTTGAGCTCACTGTTTTCTATGCTGTTACAATCCCTTTGCATATTTGGGATTCTTCTGTTTGATACATATATATATATAAAAGAGGACAGTGCTCCTTCGCGTATCTCTAAAAGATTAAAAAAATAATAATAATTTTAAAATTATATTATTTTAATTAATTTTTATTAAAAATAACTAAAATATTCTATTTTAATAACATAAAATACATTATTTTTAGTCTTTTCACATGAAATTTAATTAAAATAACATAATTTTAAAATAAATTTTCTCATAATTTTTAAAAAATAAGGTAAATAAATACCAACCTCATATATATAATAAGAATTTATTTATACATAAATTTTAGATATTATACTTACATAAAATTTACTATATAAAATTTATATAAAATTTCAATTATTAATATCTTTATTTTTAATAATTAAGATTTATTTAAAATTATTGAAAATAATTATTTTTTATTTAAAAATTTATAATGAATCTCAATTATTATAAATAAAAAATAATTAATTAAAATTTTACATAAATATAATGAGTAAAATTTATATATAACTATTATTGTATTTTTGTTTGATTGAGTTCTAGAGCTACTTATTTTCTGCCTTTGGTACAGGGAGAGTATCAGATGCTAATTTTTAAACCGGTGTAGAATTACGATCAAGTTGCTAATATGAGATATTTGAAGTGTGAAGGAAATAGAGCTGCACATGGTTTGACTTGGCAGGCTCGATGGGTGCAATGCGCAGAACATTCAAAAATTCGTCTTCTTGTTAGAAGATCCTCAGCCATGTAAATCTCTGACATTGCTTTTCTTCATTTTTTTTATTTTTTTAATAAATAAATAAGCTAGAATCGTACCTTTTTTTTAACATATTAATGGTGAAATTCAAATTTTACATTAAAAATTTTTTTTATAAAAATAAATTAAATAATCACTAAACTACAAAAATATTCTCAATTAAAATAACTCTATTGAAATTTGGAGTCCAACCCTTTTTTCGTTGTTTTGAATTAAATTTTCAGATAAAATAGTCAATATTCAAGAAATGTTGTTTTGAACGAGTCAGTAGTGATGGTCCAAAGGACAGAAGAAAAAAGAAAGAAAGAAAAAAAAAAAAGAACTAGTCAAGTAGTCAGCCTGTTTCTGGCCAAAAAATTGGGAGTCTGTCGGCCAGAAAAGAACCTGCCACTGTTGGCTGTTTTTGGACTTTGTCATCGTCGTTCATTATTTTCTTCGTTTTTTAAATTTCTTTATACTCATTCCAAGTTGTAGAACGTGGAATTCAACTAACCACAAGTCAAGTACTTTTTAATTGGTATTTTAAAAAATATTGTTTTTGTTTTTATAAT